CCCGCCAATAACCCCCCTCCCCGCCCCGGTTGGCCTTCGGGAACCGCAGGGCTGGCCCTCCTTGGCACAGCGAACGCGGACAGGGCCCACGCTCACCAGGGGGCACTATTTACCGCCCCAGAGGGGAGGGCGCTACCATTACGTGAAATAAGACACTGTCACATCAAGAAAAAGAAGATGTAAAATAGTAAACGCTAATCCTACAGACCTCCCGATATTTTAAAATATATTTTAGATAAATATTTTTTATACAATGAAATCTACAAAACAGTGTTATTTGAAGAATGAGCGTCACCTTCACAAAAGGACTGACTGCAGTTTCCCTTAAGCACTGTGCCTGCTATCCCATTTTCAGGATGGACAGAGGAGGTCACAAACTAGCAGGTCCTGTCTGGTCCACTCAGTGTTTTTTTTTTTAAAAATTCAAACAAGATGCCGACACTTTAAAATCAGAAGCGTTCCTGCACTGGGGATCCACAGCACCACATGCCCCCTGGGGGGCTCCACGAGACGCACCCGGCCCCCCTCCCCGCACACAGCCTCACCTGTGTGGCTCCCAGCTCCTCTCTGCTTTTTTTCCTTGGCCAGTTGAATGGCTCGGGAATCAGTTCTTGCTGAGCCCCCGCCTTCCTGAGACCAAAGAAAAGCGTTATCAGTCACAGGACCCAAACAGTAGAGGGAGGGGAGCGGGGGACCTACTGAGCGCGGGGTCTGCTTCCTGAACAGACCCCAGCAAAGGCTCAGAGAATCAAATACCACATCCAGTGACAGCGACAGCTGCACGGAGTTTGAGGTGGAACCATATACATGATTTTATTATCCAGAGAAGCAAAGTTTATTCCTTCACAGTCTAAAACATACTAAAATATTTTACACAGAAAGTGAACAACAGGCCACTCTGCTGTCTGACACACAGAACCAGTGTGTCCTCAGTGACCAGGACTCACTGACTGCGGCCCCTCCCCGGGTTGCAGGACGTGTCACACCACGCCCGCTTGGCCACCCCGGGGGCCCGGGCCGTGTGCCCCACGGACGCTGCTCAGGGCAGCTGCTCCACTCGGGGTCCCACCTGGCAAAGCAGAGCAGTAAGTGCATCACTGAACTGGGGCGTTTTCCGAGGGACCCGACGTACGCACATGGGACTGGGAGCGCCGTAGCCCCGCGGACGCACTGCGAGGACACGGTTGGAACCCCCATCCCCACAGAGAGAGGCTCGGGCGTACCTGCGGCCCCTTCGCCACGCGCCTTCTGGGCTCACAGACGCCAGGCTGGCCCACGTCACACAGCTAGTGAGAGAACGGACAGGGTCAGGGTCAGGGTCAGTCTCGTGCTCCACCGGCCCTCGGCCACTGCCGCATCCCTCACAGAGAACGCCGATTCAAAGGGGTAACTCTTCTTTATATCATGGTAAAATAAGGTTTAACTTTCTGAATATAAACATCACCATCAAATTTAACCTGCACCACAAAGAAAAACCTACTCACTCCCACCTGAGGCTGAGGAAAGACACTCTCTTAAGAATCTCTGATTAAATTACTTTCAATTATATTAAATGTATGACTGACACAAATAATTAAAATATGTTAACTGCCAAGCCTCGCAATTGGAGAAGTGCTCTTATAACCCTCCAGAGACAAAGGCTCCCAGACCACTCCCTTTTTTTGTTGTTGTTAATTCAAATTAAAAATTTTTGCATGGTTTTAGTTTCCGTTAAGCCCTAAGAAACATTTGATGTCACAATTCCTCTTGGCCACGACTCCGTCTGAGGATCTGCTATTACGTGATAAGCTCAAATGCAGAACGTTTCAACATTACGAAATACCTCACCTTTTTTCAAGAAAAGACGTTATCACCAAATCACAGAACTCAAAAAGACCTTAGAAATCATGTAGCCAAAGCCCCTCATTTTAGAAATAAGTGAGAATTTAAGGCTCAGACACGTTAAGTGATTTGCTCAAGGTCATAAAAACCAGTCCGTTCCAGACTCGAGATTGGAACTCAGATTTCCAGACTTGTAGGCGGTGCTCCATCCTTTCGCAAACCCCTAAGAAATGTCTGCACGTAGATTAATCCAGAACACCACACGACGGGTGTGAGATGTGACCGAACAGAGCACTTCATACCAAGTAGAAGCCGCCGGTCCCCGCGCCAAGTCCCGCGTCTTTCCGAGGTCCGAGCTCCTCTGCAGGGCTGGGCTCCACAGGCCGCGGCGCCCCTCCGCTCCACGCCTGCTGTCTGACGGCGTCGGGGTCGGGGACCGAGTCTGGTTCCACTTTGATGGGAACCAGCAGCTCCAAGGCACTGCTGTCTCCCTGGGGGCCGCTCGCAGAGGTCAAAGCCTGGGGGTCCCGACTCAAGCTCTTCACGGGCAGGGCCACCAGACAGCCCAGCGCCCCTGGGTCCATGGCCTGCACGTCACCTGCAGCGAGGCTGCCCTGCTGGAGAACCGTGGCTGCCGTCCCGAGGACGAGGGGCCTGTCCGGGCCCAGTGGGATGTCACTGTGGGCCACCAAGACCAAGGGGCCCATGGGCCCTGAGGCAGCCTGACTGGCAGGGAGGCCCCCCCCGAGAGAGGCGCTCACAGAAGTCACGTCGACAGTCAGGATCCCAGCGTGGAGCGCCTCGTCGGAGGCCCTGGGGGCACCACCGCTGTCGCCAGGCGTGTCGCAGAAGAGGACCGCCAGGTCCACGCTGCTGAACTCACTCTGGCCAGGGCTGCTGAGGTCACTGCCGGGCGCGAGCGCGCTTGGAGCTCCCAGCGGAGGGAAGAGGTCTGAAAAGGAAGGAACACTCTGGTGACCTCAGGCCCTCAGAGACCAGGGAGCTCTGTATGTGCTCAAGACGTGAGCAGGCGGCCACCGAGGGGACAAGGATGGTTCTTCCTGCCGCCAGTGCCTGGCCCTGCGGGCGGCCACGCTCTGCAGCGAGGCACTGTGGGGGGACACGCCCGGCGCCCTGTCCACGCTGCCCGGAGCCTCGAGCCCACAGGCATCTCCCCAGACGACAGGCGTGACCTGGGTCAACAACGCTCCCCAAGTCACACCGCCCAGTGACGGAAGAGGCAAGACTCAAACCCAAGTCCTACTGGCTTCACACCCTGAGCTCGCTCCACCGCGAGCAGCCACCCTAGGAGACCAAGCACCCTCGCGGAGCAGACAGCTGCAGGCCGCAGGCCACATTGAACCCTGGCTCCCTGACATTTCTGGCATCAGCTATGTGGGTCCACGTCCCATCCAGCTCTCCGCCCACTTCGCGACAAGCAGCTTCTCCAGAACAAGAGGGCGCAAGGGCAGGGACGGACAGTGGGGAAAATCTGGCCTGCCGGCCTCTGGGCTGGAGCACGGCGCCCCCAGGGAGCTGCGGAGACCGCATGTCAGACACCACACACTGCAGGCCTGGCCGTGGCCTCCTGGATGGAGCTGCTCCATTTCCAGGCTCCACTGCCCCCACTGCCGCGGGTCCCAGCGTCTGTGCCCCTCAGCGGCAGACACAGGGCCTGGTGCTCAACAAGCCGCCCTCGTTCACTTAATTGCTGCCGCAGCACTCTCCCAATACTTGATTATTTGTTATTCAATTAAGAGGTTAAGTAATCAGATTACCCTTGGGAAAATAATGAACACTAACATACTGTAAAAAAGCTTCAATGCATGTTCAAGTTGAGGGTTCACACACAAGAACACCCGATCACCCAAATCCTAGGGCTCACCAGGCACCAAGCAAACAGGAAAATGGAAGCACGGAGAACTGGGGCACAGCTGCCACACGAGGCCCTGACTGCCCCGCTCCTGCGGCTTCCGACACCCCGGCCGGCCAGAGGGAACCCTTCCCGCTCCCAGGCCTGGCACCATCCCTCCCTCCCAACCCTGAGCTAATCCCAAGCTCACACTGTCCAGCTGTGGACCCCACGTCAAAGCGCCTATGATGCTTCTGCTGTGAACCTATGGAAGAAATCTACTCTAGACGCCGCCCCCCAAAAGTAAATAAACGACAACCAAATTCAGAACCTATCATCTGCAGCTGTCATATTGCTTCAAAGTTTAAGAACTGGATCAATCTATCATTGCTTCAATAATCTAGTACCAAGGAAACATTCTGAAAGGGCAGTGACTCCTTGAAGTAATTAAAACTGGAAACATGTCTCTTTTTCAAAAGTTTCCTGGATAACCTTGATGATTCAGCTCCCTGTGAAAAAGTCAATAATAATCTAGGCAAATAGATACCAGTGTGCTCATAAATTTCCTATTTAGCATTTTGCTGATTCCACAAATATTTACTGGAGACCTGCCAACGTGCAAGGGCCAGACGTTCAAAAACCATTAAACAAACATTTATACAGAGCATCCAGCACTAGGCCACTCCATGACCTCACTCCAGCACTTCCTTGCCAATATGAGCCCCACCTGGGACCAATGTGAGGGGGACCCGAGCAGCCAATTCAGGGCCTGGCACAGTCCGTCCACAATAAACAGACGCTCCCAGGCACCTATTTATCAGGAGGCAAGCCTGGGATTTCGTCACACACCCGACACGAGACCACGTCACATCATAAATGCCAGGCCTGGGCCACACCCCAGTCACCTACCCCACACAAGACCACGTCAGATCATAACTGTGGGGCTTGGGATGCACCCTAGTCACCTACCCGACAAGAGACCGTGCCACATCGTAAACGCCAGGCCTGGGACACACACCCCTGATCACCTACCTGACACGAGACCATGTCACAGCATAAATGCAGGGCCTGGGACCACCCGCCCCCATCACCTACCCAACACGTGCCTCACACACTGGTGCCCCTCCCAGGATCACAGCGGGGAAGGGGCTATGCCTGAGGCTGGGCAGGCCTGTCACAAAGGTGGCACCGAGCAGGGCCTGGCAGCAGCTTGCTCAGGTAACTACAGCTAGGACTTCACCCTCCAGGCCCTGCCAGGAGCAGCAGGCCTGCCGGGCCGCAGAGCACAGTGCTGGAACGGCTCTAGGGAGAGGCAGCCGCCGGGCCACCCAGACCCTCAGGCCCGCCCAGGGGCCGGCGCACGGGGCAGGATTCCCAGTCCCAGGCCCCCAGGTAGCAGGACGGCCAGGTCCGTGTGCCCAGAGTCGCCCCTCTGGGCTCGTTGTGGCTCGCGCTCTGCCCCCAGAACGTCCAGAAACAGCTCTGTCCTGTCTCCAAGGACTCTCCCAGGCACTGGGATGGACAGGTGGAGCTGAAGGAGTCGGACGCGATGGGGGGCAGGCCTGGAATACAGGACAAGGTCACAAGGAGACTCAAAGGCCAGGCTACGAAGGCCACCCCCGTGGAAGCCCCTCAGAGACGAGGGCGGGTGAGAGGGTCAGAGGCAGCAAGTGGCGGACGAGGCCACGAGGCCACGCAGCGCGGCAGCTGTGGTCCCTGCCACGCGTCTCGCGGTCAAGGCGCCCTCAGGGCCGTGAGCGGGGCCGACCTGGGTGCCGGTGGTGCTGCCGGATCACGTGGGCCTTCACGCTGTGCTTGGAAGCAAAGAGCCTGTGGCAGCTGGACACCGGGCACCTGCTTTTCGCGGCGGCCACGTCCTGCAGGTGCTTCTTGGAATGTATGTAGAGGCTGCTCCGCGCGGAGAACCTGGCACAGCACCCTGGGCAGAGAGGGGGACACGCGTTAGCCTCAGGGTCCCCGTCCCGGCAGCGCCCGCACAGGGCACGTCCCCGCTCTGTCCCCGGCAAGCGCCCTCAGGCAGCATCGCGAGGAAGCCTGAAGTCCCACGTGACCTGCACAAGCAGGCTGACCGCCTCCATTAAGTTGCTACTGGAAGAAAACCTGAGACCCCGGGACATCTGGGGCTGGAGACCACCCCACAGACCTGCCACTTCCTCTCATTTCACCCCTGAGAAGCTGTTGCCCAGACGGGCCGAGCAGATGGTCGGGAGTCAGAGGCAGAAGGGGAGCCTGGAGTTGGCCCTGCCCAAGTCCGCAGAGCAGACACACACCCGGGGCAGAGGGAAACAGGCAGACCCAGAGATACAGCCACCCTCCTTCATGCCCCGACGTCCCACCGCTGGAGTTCGGCACGGCAGGGTCACGGGAGGGAAGAGGGGTTCCTGACGGCCACAAGCTCGTCACCTGGCAGGGACACACAAGCAGCCAGCTGTCCTAACACAGGCGGCCTAAAGCCCGGGGTCAGGCCACCCAGCGTTCCGGGAGCAGAGGAGAGCGTCCCCCCGCCCAGGAGGGAAGGTCTCAGGAGATAGGTCACATCTGAGGTGCCAGGCGGCATGGCCACCACATCAAGGAGGTGTGGCCGAGGGGCTGCCAGGCCAGGCTGTGGGGAGCTGCAGGACCGGCCCCACCCGTGTACGGCCGTCTCGACCCCTTCCGTAAAGCGGGGCCTCCACGGTTCTCACGACGCCCAGGAAGGACGCCACAGCGCTATCACGCTACAGCATGTCAGGGAAGGCGACGGGGTCGCTGGGGGCCGGAGGAGGGCTACTGCAGGAAAAGAGGCTACGCAGAGGGGATACGGGCACGGCAGTAAGGGCTCTGCTACCCCTGAGAGCAGTTCTGAACTGATTTCATTTTCAAACAGAACTTCACACCCGTTTGCCAGATCAGGCTCGGGACAGGGCACCTGGGAAAAACAACAGAGAAGAGACATCTCTGGTCTTGCCCCCGGGGGCCCTGTGGCCATGCGTGCCGAGTTCCACACCCCCTCCCAGCTGGGACCCTCACAGAGAACTCCAGGCTGATCACACGGCCACCTATCACACGGCCTTCCCGAGGGCGGGTTCGGCCACCACAGGGACGTCACCATGCTGCTGCCAGCAGACAGTTTCTACTTGTAGAGATACTTGCGAATTCAACAGGGAACAACGCAGGTATCGTTTTCATTTGTATTTCCTTTGATGATCAGAAGTATGACCATTTTTTCATGTGCGTCAACGACTACGTTTTCCTAATTACAACATAATCTATTGAGACGTGCTGCTGCTTTACAAGTTAAGGATATTCACACACAGCCCCACGCATTTCTACCAAGTTACCACCCCGCCAGGGGAAGGGCAGAAGCAACTTGTCAAAGACAGACTTCCCTGCAAACCCCAGCTCCTCAGGAGTCTTCCCAGCTCGCACCCACATTCCCGTGGGCTCCACGGCAGGCTGGAGGCCCAGAGAAGCCCCACCAGGCACACGCCGCCCTCAGCCAACCCTCGTCCACACTCGCTGCCGTGCTGCGCTCCCCGTCCTCTGCTCCTCCTGCTACTACTATGGGAAAGGCGGGGAGTGGCGGCTTTGTAACTTTTTATTAAGAATATTCCAAACACCTACAAAAACAGAGAAAATGGTGAAATCACCCAGACTCAAGAACTGTCAACTCTCAGCAAACGTGACAAAGGGTTCTGGGATGCCTCCGCCAGCCCGCCTTCACCGCCACTCCCTTGAAAAGCACACCCTTGACCAAGCGCTGCCGGTCACCCTCTATGTCAGACCTGCGCAGAGCTCTCAAGGATGCAATTACTAAAAGGAAAATCCTCCCTCCTCCGTAGCCAGCCCTGCCCCTTCCTCTTTCCC